GGAATTCCCAATTTAGGCATGCATCATTCCTTCCGAATTAGGACCTAATGCGGTAACGATTAGGCTTGCAGCATTTAGGTGTGCCTAATCGTTTCCGCATTAGGCCCACATTCGTCTTTAGGCATGCCTAACTGAAATTCTAGTCGGGAATGTATAGGCTATTTGGGGTATAGGGACGTTTTCCAGAGAAAAAATAAATTCGAATAATGAGAGACCAATTTTTTTTTTTTAAATATGCACGTTGCGTGTGAAATGTATAGGCTACTCGGTGTATAGGGAAATTTTTCTGGGAAAAATTGCGTGCAGGGTTAACGGACAGGCGTCGTCCGGCCGGCGTCGAAGACCGCTGCGCCGGTTTTATTTTAGTTTCTTAGTGGGAAAGTAATTACCGAGTTTCCCTCTCTGATTTGGCAGCCGGGTTTTCCTCGGAAAACGCGAAACTTTCGGATGCACGCGGTTCGTTAACGAGTTGTGTTAATACACCAGCCGCTCGGTTACTCGGGTTATTTGTGTTTGCGAACCGGATTAACACGCCAGCTAACTCGTTTCGAACTTCGACTACCTGTCCACCTACTGATAAAGAGATATTCATCATTTTTTGAAGAAAAAAAAAAAAAGAGAAAATGAGGAAAACTGTTGTCTACTGAATTCGATTAATTTGCTACTTTTTTCGGCTGAACTTGAAGTGGGAATAATTCTTAATCGCTCTTCGTTAATTTCTTACTATTTTTTATTTCTAATTTGTTCATCATTTTTCGAAATTAAAAAAAAAACTACCGAATCAGTTGAATTTGCTACTTTTTTTTGGCTAAACCCGAAGTGATAGTAATTCTTAATTGTTCTTCGTTAATTTTTTACTTTCCTTTATTTTCAAAATTTATTCCTAATTTCTTGAAATGAAAAAAAGCTACTGAATCAGATGAATTTGCTACTTTTTTGGCTAAACTTGAAATAGGATGTGGCGACCGCCACGGGGGGGCCACGCACTTAGGCCTGGCGACTCTTGGCCCTCGAGGCGAAGAATCGAGAGATGTTTTTCCAAACATCTCCGAGTTTCTTCGTCCTCGAGGACAAGAGTATTGCCTCGGCAATGCAGGCCCGCGCCTCCACTTCCTGGGACTTTCCCAGGGAAAAGGGGTTACTTAAGGGAGCCCCAAAAAAGGCACGAGGCCTTTGGTCGTAGACTTCCTTTCCACGCGCATCGTATCGCCTTACATCTAAAATTAGTTTAAGTATTATTGGTTGAATAAATAGATTTTTGTTACCCTCTTTGCGAGTAATCATTTTCACCACGTCACTTCCAAAAGGAGTAATTCTTAATCGTTCTTCTTTTCAAAATTTATTCCTAATTTCTTGAAATGAAAAAGAGCTACTGAATCAGATGAATTTGCTACTTTTTTTGGCTAAACGTGAAGTATGAGTAATTCTTAATCGTTCTTCATTAATTTCCTACTTTTCTTTATTCTTAAATTTCACAGACGAGGAGTTCTTTTTAATTCGTGATACATTTCCATATATTCAAAGCTTCCTTACACTATCTGCTGCACCAGATAAATTTTCTCCTCTTCTCGAGGAAATGTGAAGTAACCTTAATCCTTCGTTAATTTCTTACTTCTCTTTTCTCTCTATCTTTCACCTGGGAAGAGTTAATACTAATTCACGGTGTATCTCGATATATTCAAACCTTCTTACAGCTGTTTTTTCTTCTTCTTTATTTATCATCCTACGCAGGAGCGCGAAGGGTTTAATCCGTACTTTTAATCGATCAGTTCTTCGAAAGGACTTCAGTAGAGATTTCAGTTACACCTATTCTCGAAATACTTACGAGAGCGTTATTTAATCACCGTTTGATTACGAAGATTAAAGAACGCATAGGTATACGAACGCACGGTAGATTGGAAAAGTTTGGCGTGCAAACACAGCGATATGCATTTTTCAATAATTAAACATCGAAACTCCCCCGTGAACAAATTGCGTATCGTCGATTTGCCCATCCATTTTCTACCGGCGATAATAATCCTTGTAAATATAGAAGTATACAAGTGCATTTTTATTTCAGAGAAAATTGCATGCAAGATAACGACCGTTTTCCTCGTTCTAGAAATTGGAACGTTTTTCACGGGATTTTTAAAACGTCCTCTTTTCATCGAATAAAAATATCGCAGATTCCTCGAATTCGTAGCGATACTTTATTTCCAGAAAGAGTGAGAGAGAGAGGAAATATCAATTTGTTTTTCGATTCGAGGAATTTTCGAATCAGCTCTTGACATCAGATGCCTGGAATTATTCCCAAATCGAAAATCCTTTCGCTACCTCGAAAAAAGATATTATTTTCCGAGCGTGCTTGTAACGACGACGCGCTCGCTCGTTTCCGCATCAACCCCGAACCGGTACCAAATGAAGCTTCTCTCTGGTCGCGTAATGAAACTGGGGATATTCGATTCCATCGAGGTATTTTTCACGTGGCTAATAAACGCATTTTCCGCGACTTTCTGGCGACACTCGAATCTTCCTTCGTGGAACTTCTCCATTTCCATTCTCTCTGTTTCCCTGTGTCGCCGGTTAAAATGTTCTACAAGCAGTCGAAGATTTTCTTCTGAACTCGGACACCGAATTTCTAGCTGTTTCTAAATAAAGTAAATTATCACGTGCAAATATAGGGGTGAAAAAATTGACTTTGCGATTTTCTGAAGGAATTCAAATATTTCGCTAAATTTTTAGGCAAGAATCGAAGAAGATTCGCGCGAAGTTCAATTTTCACTTCAGAGTTTACCAAAAAAAGAATAGAAAAAATAAAAGATATTCTGGAATATCTGACGACTTTAAGTTTATCAAAAAAGAAAATTCTGGAATACATCACGAGTTTAAGTTTGTAAAAAAGATACTCTGGAATACCTCACGAATTTAAGTTTGCCGAAAGAAAAAAAAATATTCTGGAATACCTCAGGACTTTAAGTTTGTAAAGAATATTCTGGAACACCTCAGGACTGTGAGTTTGTAAAAAAGAAATATTCTGGAATACCTCACGATTTTAAGTTCGTAAGAAAGAAATATTCTGGAATACCTCACGATTTTAAGTTCGTAAGAAAGAAGTATTCTGGACTACCTCACGACTTTAAGTTTGTAAAAAATATTCTGGAATGCCTCAGGACTTTAAGTTTGTCAACAAGATGAAAAAAATATTCCGGAATGCTTCACGACATTAAGTTTGCAAAAAAGAAACAAATTCTGGAATACCTCAGGACTTTAAGTTTGTAAAAAATATTCTGGAACACCTCAGGACTGTAAGTTTGTAAAAAAGAAATATTCTGGAATACCTCACGATTTTAAGTTCGTAAGAAAGAAATATTCTGGACTACCTTACGACTTTAAGTTTGTAAAAAGTATTCCGGAATGCTTCACGACTTTAAGTTTGTCAACAAGATGAAAAAAATATTCCGGAATGCTTCACGATATTAAATTTGCAAAAAAGAAACAAATTCTGAAATACCTCAGGAGTCTAAGTTGGTAAAAAAAAAAAACATATTCCGGAATGCTCCCCGAGTCTCAGTTAGAAGGGTCGGTTCTAAAATGCAAAGTCAGGTTCCGGCATCGAGAACGACGATCGGGGGATTAACTCTCTCTCTCTCTCTCTATAGAGAGAGAGAGGGCGGGAGGGTTGCAATTAATGCGAAATCCGTGGAATTCACGGTCAGGCAGAGGCGCGGGGTTTGGTGGCGGAAAATAGCGCTCGCGTACGCGACACATCGGCGTGAAATTCGCGTGAGGAAGGGTTGGGCCGTAGGATGGGCTGAGCGTGCGATCGGAAACGATTCGAATGCGATTTGAATTTTGAGTACACTCGCGAATCTGCATATGTAAACAGCGCGCGGCTGCACGCGATACGATCGCGCCTACCTCTCTACGTGCAATCACGCCACCCTGTACAATGTGTCCCGGCCATTCAGCCTGCGAGGTCTTCATTATTAAACCAGGCGTGCGCGCCGCCAATTTCCCCGAAAAAGTTACATCCAGCCAACCAGGAATCCTGGCTTGCGCTCAACCCTCTTCTTTCCTTCGACGCTACTTTTCCCTGGCTATGCGTGCACCCTTTACCGAGCGAATCACCAATTTTATCGGTGTCTCTGAGTGTCGGTGAGACGTTGTAATTAAGGGAGAAATTAGCTTTGGGAATTATCGTTTGTGAATATCGTGGTATTTTTGGTATCTTCCCTTTTTTACTTGGCTGAGTGACAACGAGTAAGAAATTAATAGGAAAATTAACCCTTTGACTGTCTAATGAAATTATGAATTAAGGTCAAAGGAATTTATATTTCACATGTACATTTTTAATTATTAAGTTGCGTGAGGTACACATGCGTCACGTGTGTTCGTAATCCAAGTGATAACGAGTGGTTTAAGATTGGTAGAAAGATTTCTTTGTAGAAAAACTAACCCTTTGACTGTCTAATAAAATTATGAATTAAGGTCAATGAAATTCATATTCTCCATGTACCTTTTTAATTATTAAGTCGTGCGCAATCATTTTTGATTGGAAAATAGATTTCTGTGTAGAAAAATTGGTACAGAAAATGAACCCTTTGACTGTCCAATAAAATTATGAATATACGAATTAATAATACCGTCAAACGGTAGATGAGAAATTTTCTTTACCTTCTTTATCTTCACCAACATTTGGTTGAATAACATATCATTTTCTCTTATCTATCTTATCATTTCTCTTTTTCCAACAAATTCCACAACCTTACTGTATAACCTGTTACGTTATACAGCGTAGACGCGCTTAACTTTCTAAGAGTCTCTCCGTAGCTAAACTGTTCTCTCCTCGACGCTCTGCTCGAGTCTCACTCGAGATAAAGTGTCGAAGGGTTAATAACGCGAAATTGAACAGTACATCAGAACGAACGACACGTTGCGGTCTGAATCAGCAAAACCGTTAAGACGTAAAACTCCAAGGTATCTCTGCATCCCGTTGAACGTTATTATTAACGAAATTTCAGATGTTGCACGGGACGTGGCTGCAGTGGTCGATGTTGCTGCTGTTGCTGCTAGGGACGCGGCTGCTGTTCGTGGTCGCTCAATGCGGATCGTTCACTCAGGACAGACAGGAAAAGGAAGACAAACAGGATAAGCTGGCGCTGTACAAAGTCACTTTAAGGACTTACTGGTCGAGGGCGCGATTTCCGCGACATTATCCCGAATGGAAGCCACCAGCTCAGTTCGGCAAGCTGATCGGTGAGTCTTTAAACAAATTTTCTACGGAGACCGATTCACCGAGAGAATTAATTAACGACGAAATGAAAATTCCGCGGATAAGAAAAAACGAAGGGTATGTTAACCCTTTGCACTCGACACCTGTTGTATTTCCCAATATTTTTATTTCTTTTTTTTTTTACTTAGGACAGGCAACGTTACGCGTATGCGAAGCAATTGCTTACATTGTCCTTTGAGGTTCATTTCAAATGAAACGTTTAAAATAACGCGGAGAGGAAGTGTGAAAGAAATTGGGAGTGGAAAGGGTTAAATTAGCGGTAAGATAGTAAATTAGATAGGAAAATTAGAAATGCTCGATTAGCGAGTATTGTTCGTTAAACCGGTCGATGGTAGAAAGAGAGGGAATGGAAGTTTCGGCGGAGACTGGAGGTAGAAAATTCATAGAAACGGCGTTGGAAGGTTTGCGTGATTGAGGTTGTAAGGTAGAAATTCGTTCCGTCGCGCGGTTTCGATGATCGGCGAGTGCTTATTTCTGAGCCGCGGCGCGGCGCATTTCGAGCAACGTCAGCCAGCGGAACACGCCATTTCCTAGGTTTATTCTCTTCGACCTCCTTTCCCAGCCGGCGTGAGAAACGATAATTGGAGAAGTTGGGAATTATCGGACGTCGACGCGTACGTTGTCGCTTCCGGCGACGCGAAGGCCTTCTCTGCTTGCGACGAATGATATACGGAATCCTCGTAACATTGCCTCCCGTGATATACGACACTTAATTCACGTTCGCTGTAGTTCGAAACTCATTGTGAAGGGAGAATGGGAAGAACAGTTGTTACTGAAATTTTCTTTCCTTCATGAGAGTGCGAGTGGAAGTAGGTAGATGATTTTTATCAGTGTGTCAATAAGGGGATTTAAAAAGAACTTAATCCTTTCGTCGCTATTGGCGCACTTCCACCTTAAGGGGGTCTTCTAGTGTAACTGTTTCAAAAAATCGATTTTTATTTTGTTGCATATATCGAAAGTACAACTTTTTAAGAATGTACTCCTGAAGTTTTATAGTTGTTTTGAATAAAATAACGAAGTTATAGCTCGTTTAGTGCGACACATCAAGGGAGGATCTGAATTGCACTGAAAACTTTAAACGCGTTTTTCTCGGAACCATGTTTTCTGAAATGGTTGCCACGATCTGGCAAAAACTACCGAACCAATTTTGCACATGTCTTCGGAACATGTGTGGCTGTGGTCGGTAGTAGAATTATGCCAAAATATACATTTTTCTGATTTTTGGAGCCTCTGAAAGACGAAAAAAAGTCGAAAAAATGGATACTTCGTATTCAAAGTGTCGCCATTTTTTTAATTTTCAATACTTTTCTTTTATTCTTCTACCGACCGTAGCGACATGCATACTAAATAAGAATCAATTGGATTTTTTCATTTCTGATAAGCAGAACAGCTCAAATCATGGCAACCATGGACCTACTTTTTTTTTTCATGCTCCTGTTTCACGTGTTCCACAGCAGCCATATTTAATTACTTCAACAAAAAAAATTTGTAACGATTCTTCAAGGACAAGTAAATACGTAGAAATAAAGCTGATGTTAATAACTCAGCCATATTTAATTACTTTTCAACAAAAAAAATTTGTAACGATTCTTCAAGGACAAGTAAATACGTAGAAATAAAGCTGATGTTAATAACTGTTAGCGTACTTCTGTAAGAAATTAGCAAAGAAGGCCTAAAAATACGGCCGTCACACTAGAAGACCCCCTTAATTTAACCAACTGACTTTTCAAATGGTGCGTCTAAAACAACAAATTTTGCGGCCCTGGTTAACAATTTATTGTCTGTAACTCACGTTACGTATTAAAATACGTTGCAGTTAATATCGAAGAAAGATGGATTACAGAAATTAGAGAAGATCGTAAAAAAAATATTAATATTCCATAATTGAAAAGAAGATAAAATGCGCAATACAAGCCTAATAGTGCTGAATACACCGCGTTTTTATTCTCTTCTTCGACGCAATCTACGTCACTTCCTGCTGTCCATCGTATTCATAACGTCCTGCAAGCACGCTTTTTAATAAATAAAAAGTTAACCCTTCCATCGCTACTGACGCCTATTTTGGCGCGCTTCTACCTTCATTTTATCCTTTGCACACTTCCACCTTAATTCAACAAACCGTTTAATTTTAAAATGGTTCGTAAAAAAATAACAAATTTTGCAGCCCTGGTTAGCAATTTATCCTCTGTAACCCACATTGCGTACTAAAATTTGCCGCGGTGAAAGGGTTCATGTGTAACACAGATGGATTACTAAAATTAGAAAAAATCGCAAAAAGATACCAATACTCCATAATTAAAAAAAAAAGAACGTATATATCGCGTTTTTATTTTCTCTTTCGACGTAGTCCATCGTATTCACAACGCCCTGCAATCTAATTTATCCGCTAAGCAAGCCTTTTACCAAACAATTCTAAATAAGTGGCTGTTAATTAAAGTCCATTAGAAAACACGAGGCACTTTAATCGTGGAAATTTTCAACGAACCCGTTCAACCGCGTTTATCCATCGCACCGCTTTGCTACGATTATAAATTCCCGCCACATTTGCCAGACATCGCAACAATATCAAATCTCGGCTCACCCCGGACCAACACACCCATTGGATTTCACGAGACTAGACGAAGATATATCACCCCGTGCACGTTGTAAAATTCAACGAGGGACCGTTTCGATCGGCGCGGTGCGGCGACGAGAGCCATCCGCTGAAAAAGAAATTCCACGGTTGGCATCGGGGTCTCTCTTCTTCCGCGAGCTATTGGTCGGTCCATAAACAAGGGGAATATTTCAGATGGTAATGCTAGCGCGTGGGAACAGGTGTCGCGGCTCCCTGACGGTCTATAAATTTCCCCACATGCCTCGTATCTCTGCGCGGAGCTTTGCACTTTCGATTCGTGGCCACATCCTCTCTCTTCCTTTCTCGTACCACGACGGGGAGAGAGAGAGAGAGAGAGAGAGAGGAGTACACGCGAGAATATTCGACACTTGGAAAGCGTCAAATTCGAATTAGAAAAGGTACGCGCGGTGCGCACCGTTCAACGAAATTCAATTTCGCTTTAAAGACCACGTTCTCTTCCTCCTCCTCCTCCTCCTCCGACGTCGTCGTCGTCGTCGTCGAATTCTCGAGGGGTGGAAATCGCGGGGAGTAGGAAGGAAACAGAAAAGAGGGAAAGACGGGGTTATGCGGGGAATGCGAACGCGAGGCATTTTCAGCGTCGGCGGCATTTTGTTTTACGCTCACGGGGGAAGAATTCGTGAATCGTTAGAGCGCGCGCGACCTTTCCACACCGGATTCTTGCACCCTCGTGAAACAGGACGCTGTGTCATCCGCCGAATTTTCTTTACCGGGACTTGGGCAGACGGGCTTGGTTAATTTTAGGTGGATGTCGGTTTTACTGTTTTTTCATTTTGGTGACTTTAACCCATTTGCATCCGTAAGCGGAATATTCCACACATGACGATTGTTGACTCCAGGATCTATGGCAGGGTCTGGTCCTAGGGACTAAGTGTCGCAGGCAACGCAATAAACACTTGTGGTGTTTTGAGAAAGCGATATTCGCCTGCGACGGCGACCACTTGACTCGCTGCCATAAATCCGGCTGCAGGATACGCCTTAACATAAGTATCCTTAACACCATAAACGGCTTTAAGGAAATAAGTCGATCGCCTGTTCGTTCCCGTAGCGGCAAATTCCCCGGTATCGATCTTCGGCTAAATAAACGTTATCCAGGTTTCGCCGCGGCGATGTTTTATTAATTCCCCCCGTATTTCTGTCGGGGAACGTCCACGCTCGAATGTCCCCGAATCTCAGTAGCGAGAGTAGAACGAAATCACGGCTAATGCAAAAGCCTCTACCTCCGTGGGAGAATATCGACGGAAATGCGGGCAAGGGGGTGGAAATAGCCTACGTGACCGTCGATATTTCCGCTTCGATTCCGCCGCCGTGGCAGTTAGAGCTACGCGCTAACGCTCCTACTGCTCCCTCTCTACTTTTCCATACATCCGAACGCATCCTCGACGAAACTAAGAGGATAGAGAAGGAAGGTACGGGGAAAGAAGGGGTGAAGATAAAATTGCCAGAGAATAGGAACCTGTAGGAAAAAATCGAATTAAGTCTAGAGGAGACCAGGGATTGCACGAGAGAAACAACGTGCGATGGAACGTCGGTAGCAATTTTACGATTTCTCGGAGAGGGAGGAAAGAAGGAGAGAGAGAGAGAGAGAGAGAGAGAGAGAGAAAAAGAAGGAAACCCGTAGAGTTGCAGAGGAGAAGAGGTGGAGAACAACGAAGGTCGAGAGATCTGGATGCGAGTTCCATTCCATTAGTCGCCTGTTAACGATCGAACGTGCCCGTTCGACTGTACACGCAGGATATATCCTGGAGAAAGGTTTTCTACCAGCGGCTCTTGCGGAATGCAGAGCGAAAGTAGGGAAGAAAGAGGGTAGACTGTGTCGCGTAGACGGAGTCGTACGACGAATCGGTGTAAAGGATTTTCGATTACGTTTTGTAGCTGCGCTCGATTCGCTTTGGTTTCCGGTTCCACCTACCCTTTCAGTGTTTATTCCTACCCTCCATTTTCTCTCTCTCTCTCTCTCTTTCGATCTAGGGGAGAGTGGAAACGCGACCTACTTTCCAGTTTCTGTTTTCTTGGGGGCAGATGGGGGATGCGGAATAATATTGTGGCAATTGTTTGTGATTAATTGATCCTTCGAGGGTGGAGGACTTGCTTTTGCACTGTTTCAATTTTTCTGTTAAAATAAATTGTTAAAATTTTGCCGTTTTTATTCTGTCCCTTGGAACCGTATTATTATGATTATTATTTATTAAGATCGAAGTTTATATGAAAATCATTCATACAGGATTAACAATTTCAAGGATAGCATTAGGCGTGGAAATTAATATTTTCCGACTCTTGGGTACAGTCGAAGATCTATTTAAAAATAACGAAAACCGAATGTGCTTGTGC